AATATGCTCTTTCAGCTTGTGCTAACAAAATTTTTCATAAGTGAACTGTTTTCATATTTACTGAAAGTTGATCATGTGATCACAGTCATGCAAAGAGCCTATTATTAGTACTTTCGTGCTAAATACATTGACAAAAAAAGACATTTTTTTGCAAGAACTGAGAACAATATTCAATTAGTTTTAAATGTTGATTTATTTCATAAATATTGCATTGATAATTGCAACCTTATTTTTTCAACAGGAGACTTGCTGTTGTACTTTTTGCCCTTATGTTCATTATACCACAAGTATATGTGATTCAGCTGTAAGTATCGACTACTTATTTACGTAATTTACAGTAACATAATATTTTAGTTTGAAAAATGGTTGGAAAGAGCTTTTAACCATTAGAAGTGATTCTCTTCTTTGAGATGGTGTCAAATTTGACTTGACGAACACATGTAAAACCAACGGAAAACACAAGAAGGTCATAAAGAGCAAGCCAGCTTAATAGGTTCTACTTGCCACTTGCGAAACAAGAAGAAAAATTGATCAAGTTTACTTTTGCAATGACTTCTGGGAGTGTTACAAGAGACAGGAAAAAAACTTTGGCCAAATACTTTGTAGCTGACTAGCACGTCGTCAGTAGCGACCCCAGAAACAGTAAATATTATTGTGGCACGCATTTCAGCTCCAGTTTCCTTCTTGTTCTAAAGTGGCAAATTTTGAGTGATCATAACCTTTTTTACCGATGTTGAACTTTATAAATAAATGCCAATACATGTAGTACACATCCATGAGTGCTCAACATTTGAGACACAAAAAATCAAAATTGCATGTAAAATGTAAGAAATATCAACCTGCAAATAACAGCTGGTCTTACTCAAATATACCTAAATTATGTCAGATGATAGTTATCATTCCTGTAGCTTTGTATTCATGTCAAAATAGTAAGACAACCATTTGCAATCTGAAGGTTTCTAATAGTAACTAGAACCACTACGTGGAACTTACCGGGGCCCAGTGGGACACGGGATTGCATAGATATAGTTTACCTCTCGCACCCCTCCCCCCTCCTCTGTGGAGGCTAATACTTAGTCTGAATTAACTCATGCAGAAGAAAAGCAACAAAATGCATGAGAAAGGAGGATGTTGTTGGAAGTTTGTTCAGTGTTATTACAGCTAACGGTCCGTGTTATAGTAGTGTTTTTAGTAACACTGTGATGTCAATAAGTGTGATCTGTATAAGGTTTTCATTTGTTTTTAAGTTTGAGTGAAAAAGCAAAAATCACTGACAGTTTTGGGTTGAATGGTAATGACAAAGTTTGCAAAGAAGTTTGTTACAGATTATCACAATTTCACATTTTCTCAAGTACGTTATCATCAGGTTTATCATTGAGATTTATTAATCACATTTATCTATTTTTTGCGAAAACACTGTGAATTTGAAATGATAACAGACATAAGACATTTTTGAAATAGATCTTTGTGGTCATGGATTGTTGTCTTGCACTGTAACAAATGTCATCCAGTGTTATATACAGACATAATAAAATGCTTATTTATTGATGACTGAGTATCATTTGTTAATTCATTGCACATTGAAATGGAGGCACTTGATTGTAAGGCAGTGGTTGATACATAGTAGCATTCATCAATATGGCCTATAGTAATTATTGTAGAGGAAGTATTTCTTTCCTGAACTGGGTAAACAGTAGTATATCTGCAACTGCTTGAATGATAAGTGCATCAGCCCATGTACCTTAATTAAATACACATATTATTCAGATATCTCATCCATGAATTTTCGGTATTGCTCTCAATAAATCTCTCTGGATTGTCTCTCCTAAATTGAACCCCAGCAGTACGTATATGCATGTGATGGTTGCTATTGCCATATAATTGATGTGATACAGATCTAAAGAAACAATCACCTGCACCGCCAACATCTATTGATTGTAAACAAAGTGCACCTAATCTTGACTGCATCAAATTCTCAGAGGAAATAGGAGAGTTCAACTGCATTTTTGGTTGAGGTCACACTAGAGAAAGTTTACTATAGTAAACTCAAGTTTACCATAGTAAACGGCGCCGTAAGTGTGACCGGCATTTTTCAGTTTACTATGGTAAACTCTACCCTGGTTAATTTCCATGACTACCGCGGAAAGAACAAAGATGACCCATCACCGATAACCATCTGGTTACCAAAAAGGTGGGTATATCTCTAGTCTATCTAAACTTTGTTTGTTTTGTTGACAGTTTGTCATGATTTTTGAGGAAAGTAGTTTCAAAAAGGGTCACATAACAGAATAGCTTTAGAACATCGGTGATTGCTTTTTCCACAGTGCTTGAAGGTTTCTGTTTCTGTACATTTTTTCAAACCATTCCTGGGGTCGAGGTTAAACCCACGCTTGCCTTCGCAATGCCGCTCTTTCTCTAAGAATACGTCTTCGATGAGTAATCAATAAACCTGTCACTAAAACATCTTCACTAACTTCGTATTCGAAACCAAGGTAGGTAATAAGGGAGCGCATTCTTCTTGCTCATCTGAGCAGCAGAATTAAAAGCAAAATGCTCACAACAGAAAACAATACTCTCTCACATTGAAAAATCTTTGTACACTTGTGAGGGTCACGCTCAGGAAGTTACAGTTCAGTAATTTCAATTTAGTCAGCTCTCATAGCAGGTCATCATTTAATTGTTTTACTTTTCACTCTCACGTTACCGATCACGCGAGAAAAAACGCCTGGAAAGTTTCAAATGCCTTTTTAAGTGGACCTGTCAGGTTTACTGCGGTAAAGAAGACGTTGCGAGACTTACCATAGTAAAGCCCTTTTTACCATAGTAAAGTCTCTAGTGTGACCTCAACCATTGTTGAGCTGTGATTTTGCATAGAAGGTCTAATTATTACTTCATGATGATCAGTGTTGTATTGAGTAGGTCCTGGATTCTTCTCAACATCTTTACTTAGTTTGAAATTCACATAATTGGTCATATGACTCACACAATTGCAAGAAAACAATGATAAAGATCGACGTGCTTTACATTATTTTTAGTTTCATTATCCTGTGATAATGCCTGCTAAAGAAAGACAACAAATAAGCTTTCTTGGGTATAGCCATTTTATTTAACTTAATTATCTTTGGATCGCGTTTGTTATTACATTTATATCGTGCATGATAAAGTTTTCTCACCTTATTAACATAGCGATGGAGCTTTGAAGTCTTCGGTATGTCAATCATTGAAATCTTTTTGAAGACAAATTTTGATAAGTGTTCGCTTTGATTCTCGATAAATTTCACGATGGAAGGTTCACTCAATTTCTCGATAAGTTTCACGATGGAAGGTTCAGTCTCAGAAGTGATCGCTCGTAAATTTGTCTCTCCAAATATTCACTCTTAAATTTTCGCTCATAAACTAGTTGGGTTGGGGGAACGTGTCGTTCCCCAAAAAAGCTATAATCTTTCTCTTGACTGTCCTCCATGGCTCTTCTTTTCAAAATGGCGGATAAGATTTCAATGAGCCAGCGATATATCTCAGTCAGCGATATATCCCTAACAATGTAACGTTGAAAAAACGGACCGTCTGCATTTTAAGACCGGTGCCAGCCTTCGGCTGGGCCCCGGTAATTATAAGGTACAGTCATTAACCCTGTTAACCGTTTAAGTCCCAATAGTGACCAACATCAATTTTCTCCTAACAACATCCATTGTCAAGAGGGAGGGTTATGAGAATTAATAAAATGATCACCAAAGAGAAAATGCCTTGATCTTTTATCAAATTCTCTTAACTAATTCTTAAAGGAAATGTATGGAGATCAGTTTGGAGAATTTGTTTGTGGATACTGGGGCTTGAAGGGTTGATGACTGGACATTGAATTGCTATAAAATGTGTTATTAACCTAGGTTGCTTCTCAATTTCCTTTGTCTCCGAGTCATAGTTCATGAATAATTAGGGCTAGGAGACAAAGGAAATTGGGAATCACCCTAGGTTAAAAAATTTTATCTGAATTTAATTTTGACCTGTAAAAGATCTTTCTATAGGTAACCTTCTGTTAAACCTTTCCTTTTCATGGTATGTTTAGACTCCCTTAGCCTGCATCGCAGACATACATGTAACCTAACCCTGGTCAGTAACGTCTGCAAAGCAGTGCTGATATCCTTATTCTGGGTCCACAACTGACTCAATTAACCACTGAACATTTGTTTCAATTTTTCCTTCAACCTGATTGGCAAATCGACTATGACATCCAAATCATGACACCCCTGGTACACTTTTGAAGGCCCAGAACAAGGATATTGATGCTGTTTTGCAGGCAGAATTAACCAGAAGTTTAGTTCTGTCTGTGATGTGGGCTGCGAACTGCCACAGCTACAGTTTTTGAGGGGTGTATTTTTACCCTTCAAATGCCCATATCTGCCCATGAGGATCCCCATCCCTTGTACTACTTGTGATGTCATTGGTTTGAATGGTCATAGACTATTTTGACACCTACAACTCGAGCAGGAAAAAGAAATCTTTCATGAGCATGAATCAGGCAAACAGGCCAGAGAAAAAATGTAAAATGAACATCTAAGATTGACCAGAAAATTGACTACTTACCCATACACATACCGTGCACTTTCTACTGAAAAATTATTAATTCACAACCCTTATAATTTTTGTTGAAACTTTTTCACCTGAGTGGGTGCCTTAAGTAATAATTTATTGCTCAGCCCAACCCCCCCCCCCCCAAAGAAAGAGGAAAGAATTGCAAAAGAATTGGGAAGGAGAACTAAGTGAAATGTAAAAGTATCAACGTTTTGCCTTCTGGCCGTGCCTGAACTTCAGAAGCTGATATCTAACATCAGGAAGTGCTTGACTTATAAACAGTGCAGTGCTTTGGGCTGTTTTGGTTCTTTTTGGCCGGATAATGACCAGAAAATGGATCCACTACCTGTGGCCAATAAGCTGGGGCCAATGCATTTTAAAGCAAAATTACTACATTAGTTACTTGTGCTTTTTATTTTATTTGCTGTAGGCCTCCAAGCTCTCGGACCTGTGATGAACCTTTGCTCAACATCTCAGTTGCAGGCATTGTTTTTACATTCGCTATGATAGGTACAGTGTACTTTCTCCGTCTGGTGTTCTTTTAACCACGTAATTTTGAAAAACAATGTGCAGGTCCAGATCATATCCATAACTTCCACTTAAGACCCCACACACCTTTTGAAATTCCAATAACTACTGCTAAACTTTTTTTTTTTTTTTTTTTTTTTTAATTTTTTTTTATTTTATAATCACACTTGGCATTCACTTACAATATAGCTACACGGTACTTACTTACAACAAGACTACAAAATTTACTGACGTTACAGCTTTACTACTTACTTGTTTGCTACTTACTTACATTAAAATACCTAAAACTAGTTTACAACAAACAAAAGGACTACTAAAGACAATAAATAAATGAAAAGAAAAGAAAAGAGAAGAAAGAAAGAAAAAAGGCGACTCCTCTGCCTAAAACGGTTTTTAGCAATAACTACTTGAGATAACATTGACAACAATTGCTAATATTAATAAGAAATCATAAATATGCATAATTAGATGATTAATAAGATGATTAATAAACAGTATGGAAAGATATGTGAAATAGATACTTTAATTAAGAAATATTGGCGGTATGTCTAGCTCTCAATTGCACTTTGGCCTTGGTTCATTTACAGAAAATGGATACATAGGAGAAAAAAAAAAAAAAAAAACTACTGCTAAACTTCATCCATTCCTTGGAGAGGGGGGGGCCAGGGCTGGCAAAAGTTTTTAAGTAGTAGGCTGATAATGTATACTAGGCAGCTTTGGAACTTGCACCAAAGGCTGCTTGAAGGCTGCAGCATCAAGGGTCATTTTGAAATTTAGAGTCTCAGAAATGGTGTTTCCAGGGGTTTTCAAGAGGTATTTTCCATCGCGGATGCCATCAGTGAGGTCAATGATAAATTGAGGGTCTTCATGGAAAGTCGTCCGTGTGATATGCAAAATTTTGACCTGTGACTATTAATTTGCAGTAAGGTTCAACATATGTGCAAAAACACATCTTCTTTCCTGGCAGTTTCTTTTGTAGTGCTAATGTCCAACATGACACTGAGTTTCTTTCACCAAACAATGAATTTTTTTCAGCTAATAATATGTCTCTGGTTATGTTTGATCTGTGGCTTAACTACATGTAGTAGCTCAGGGCTTGACAGTGGTCTAAACATTCCCTTTCCAACTGAAATTTACAGACAACAAGAAATTATTCTAAACTGCCTACAAATTGGCCGCAAAATTTCTTGTAGCATGACTATGACTTTTATTGTGGATTTGCTTTCGTACTTTGACTTTTTCCGTGCTTATTTTGCATGTGCTACAAAATATCTCACTAAAAGTGAGATTAGTTGATTATCGCTCACCACTTCATTACATCCTGTCCTTTGTGCTATATCCTGGAAGCTACCGTGTGGCACGAAATTTTGGAGGGTTCTAATTTTTGCGATTCTTCCAGCGATCTGCAGAAATAAGTTCCCACAAATAAAAATTACCACAAACATTTTTCCTGCAAAAATTTACTTCAGAGTAAATATTCTCTAACTTAAATTCGCTACACAAAAATACAGTACTAAGAAATCATGTCTGTTCAATCACAACTTGTCTCTTTCATTCACAAACACTGAAATAATGGTTTGTTGCTTGAAAATATGTATTTCTATCATACATACTCAATAAAAGTGAAAATATTATCAATGCCATCTACTGGGTACTTTCTAAAAATCGTAAAAATTAATTCCCAGTAAGAAAAATCAATCTGTCTTAATCGCGAAAATTAGTTCCTGCAAAACACAAAAAATCGCCAATCCACAAAAATAAACTCTAGCAAAAATTTTGTGCCGCATGGTAGTTGCAGCACCCCCTCCTCTTCAATCCCCTCTGCTTTCAATGTTGTAGAGTACATGCAGCTTTCTGAAGTGAAGTGCAACCCAACTAAACACGTTGTTTAATCACAACATGCACATGACATGCCAAGTGATATTCTACAAAACACACTATCCATCATTATTTTCATTTGACCTTACTAAACAAAGAACAACATTGTCTGGGGGAGAGGGGTAGGGTCTGCTTTTCCCTTGGGGAGGGGGAAGGGGGCAGTCATAGCCTGTGTTCTTGCATACGTTATACATGTACATAAATACTGTAACATAAACGTGTGCAGCAACATGTGGAATCAATGCAGATCCATTGTTATTTTATTCTCAGCTTTTACATTTTTATTCGCAATCATGGAACCTGTGCCATGGCAGCTTAAGATTGCATTTCATTTCTTTGGCTTTGGATCCCTCATTCTTGGCATGGTACTGTTTGCATCAACATTTGCCTCTGAATTATGTGTGAGTGTTTTCTTCTTGTTGTTTTTATGGGAACCTCAGAGTTAAAAAGTACAGTTTGACTCCTGATAACTCAAACCTTCTAGGGAGACCAAAAAGAGTTTGAGTGATCAGGAACTCGAGTGCGAGGCAAAGAACCGGAAACAGGGAAAGAAGCAAATGGATTGGGAGGGAATGCAAGTATCATGCACTCTCTACTTCAAAGGCAGCATTGGATGACATAAAAATTGTTATTTTGAAAAATGAATTAAGCAACAAATGTTGATTAATATATAGGGATGGAAACTGAATTTGAAGTGGAGTGACATAAAAGTAAAGACAAAGAATTGACACGGTTGTTTTCAAATAAAAGAGAGATTAAGCATCGTGTTTACGGCAAGCGGCAAACATAAGACTCAAGTTGTAAAATTGTCAGAATGAGAAATGAGCAGATAAAAACAGCTTCAAATAATTTATTGTTATGGAAAGAATTAGTGTGAATCTGTGGACTTTCGTGTAGTTATAATGAACTGTAAACGATAAGTAATAATTATCGAAAACTTTGTCACGTGGTACAAATTCACGTTTGCATTAAACACGATGCTTAATCTCTCGAAATTCAATGTTTCAGACTTCAGTACAATGTTTTTCTTTTTCAACTTGTTATGCACTTAAAACATGGTTCGGGTTATCAAGGGTAAAATTATGTAGAAATGACCTGAAAGGAAACAAAAATTACTTCGAGTTTGCGGGAGGTTCTAGTTATCATGGGTAAAATTATAGTAAATGTGTAAAGGAAATCCAAGAGAAATCAACTTTAGTTCGAGTTAGCACGAGGTTTGAGTTATCAGGAGTCAACTGTATGCCAAGTGCATTTTTTAAGTTATATAAGCATGCAGGAAGTGGGAACATCCTTACAATCCCAGGTGTTCTCAATAGTTGCCAATAAACCGGAGTTTATTAAATTTGGTTCTCCCTGCAAAGTTTACGTAACAAAATCCGCAGAAAAACCCTGAAGGATCTTGACAGTAGAAGGAAAGTGGCCTAATGCAATTTAATAGTAATACCAAAGCAAATCCTACAAATTCCGGCCCCAACTCCCCAAGAAAGGAAAAAAACTGGATCACAATCCATTCAAAAACACCCAGGCTCCATTCTCCAACCCAAACACACAGGGTGCAGAGAAAATCATTTTTACAGCTTGTCATTCGGGCAAACTGAATCTAGCATTTACTAGCCCACAAGTTATTTAAAATAGCTCCACTGCAAAAGCTTTTTGATGAGCAGAATTGATTTCACAGTTCTTCTGTTATTCAGATTCCTCCAAAAACATCACTTGCCCGTCGGGCAAGTTAAAAACAGAATTCACTAGCCAGATAGCAAAATCCACTAGCCCCGGGCTATCGGACACTACTTTCTTTACACGCTGAACACAGCACCTCAGATAGTGCAAACTTTCAGTCACATGGCCTATTGCTTACATATCCTGACATTGCAGCGAGGTACACTATTAAAGTCACTATGAATAATTCTCCTTTGTTCTTTCTCTTGTTTAGCAAGGATATGCTCCTGAGTTGTACTATTTATGTCTCTCATTTGGGATATTTGCTCTTCTTACAACAGGTAGGTTTGACACATGTGTTAAGCTTCTGTCTTATTAGGCAAATGGTCTAAAAAAAACTGGTACATGGAGATGTTGTACATTGTATCAGCGTATGATTAAATTTTAGTGATGAGTTGAACTTGTTTCAGTGCTCGAATTTGTTAAAGATTGTATAGTTGCTGTTTTGTGAGACGTATAGGAGACACCAAGGCCACTGGTTGAGTTAATCAGCTTACATTGTGTAAATTGTGGTCTGCAATTGTAACAGTGGCGTACTAGGTGGTATTAGGGAACAATTTACTTTTTTGAAATCTTGGCTGAGAGATAAAAGAAGTGTGGTGGAGTTACAAAAAAAATACTAGTTTCAAAGCTCTTGATCTCACCCCTCTCCATATGAAGTTTAATGGCCGCCTCAGGCCCCCTCAGCCATATTGAAACCAGTTTGTTTGACGAAGAAACATAAAATGCGTCATTGACCAAAGTTTAGAGATCAAGATGGCTGAATATTGGCCAAGGTTTTTACTCTCCGTTTTTATGGACCAAAAAGTTGAGGTCTTATAAAAAATGCAGAAAAAGAGCAAGGCCAACATCCTGTCATTTTGATGTCATGCTTGGTCAATTAAGCATATTTATTATATGGCTAAATCCCAAGCGCGCAAGATAAAGTGAATCTTGTGTTTTGATTGGATACCAAGCAGGCAAGGAAGGCTTGTCTTATTTGCGTATCTCCTCGGAATTTCTCGCCTTATTTGCGCAAGAAAAGATCTTTCTGTGTCCTTTTTGGCCGTATAATATAGTCTTTATAGAGAGGAGAAGTCGTTACGTCATGTTGCCATAGTAAATTTCTTTAATGACAACAAACCGAAAATTCCCTTAAAAAGTAAATTCGCACTGTTTCAAACTTCATCGATCTTATTCACATTCATTTAATTTGCCAAATGTCAGCGAAATTTTCTGGGTTAAATCCGAAACGACCGTATCTAAGTTTAGGAAAAGAAAAAGAAACTTTTTGTGTTGTGCTCACCTACTCCATAAAATAAAATGAAATAGGACGTTTCATGATGCACGTGCAAAGTTCATTTTTTGCCAATCTAAACCTAATCGCGTGTCACGAGATTTGAGATTTTACGGGTTTAAAAGGTGAAAGTGAAGCATATAAATAACTTAAATATCGCATTAATGTACACAATTTAGGCTAGCCGGATCCTAGTATCCTAGTCTACGTTGGAGGCGTTCGAAGGGGAATAGAAAGGTAGAAGTTCGGGTGCACGTGGAAGTAGGAAGGGATTCCCCTTCTCTAACCCCCCACCCCCCACTTTTCCCTCGCGCACCCGCATTCAGGTATGCGGTTTTACAGTAAGTGTGTTATGCTCTTCATCGCTAGTCTCCTTCGCAGCCGTTATTAGGGTCGTCACGCAAAGCTCTTCCCTACTGGTGGGAGGAGCGTTGTGTGACAGCCCTAATAACAGCTGCGAAGAAGACTACTTCATGGTTGGCTATTATAAAGTGTACTCAATACAAAATTCTGTTGTTTTACAGGATTTCTGGTCATCATGCTCCCGTTTTGGTTGATGAACTATCTGTGGCCAGATTCTGTTCTCAACCGACGTGAACGGCGAGGAATTTGCTATGAGCCTGTAAAGTGCTGCACTTGCCTTTGGCATATTTAGAACGGTGGATTCTTCTGTTGTCTAGGTTACACATGTTATGCAAGCATAAGCTCTACAAATCTCGTTCCCAGGGTCTTTGTTTTTCCCGTCTCCTTTTACTGCAAAGGGCCTGGGGACGAGGTAACATTGGGCGACTCCATAAGCTACGAAATATAGGTGTCTATATTAGGTTTCAGTTAGTCCATGCTTGCATCGCATATGTAAACTTTACGTTAGCTGTTAAGAGCGAATGCACAGAAAAATCGAGCAAAATCGGCAAATCGTGGCCACAGCTCAAAACCTAACCTACCCTCATTTTCAGTCTGTAATAAGGTTTTAATGAGTTTATAACACTGCTCAGGTTTAAATTTCAAAATGCGGCCGAATTTGGGAATTATTTGAGATTTTCGATTTCAACGGTCTGCGGGCCTAAAATTAGCCGCCGAACACGGCAATATAGCCTAGCGACAGAAATGAACTGACTTTCATAAACGAGCAAATATATTGGCAATCTTCCACTTAAATCTCAAAAAGCAGATATGTAACAATTTCTGAACGGCACATTTTTTAGATTTAGAGTATAAAATATCGACGAACCAGCAGAATTTTTAAACGTAATTTGCATTATGCTTATAAATACAACAATTTACCGCTAAAACCAAAATCGAATTTTCTATATGGGGGAATTCTTCAAATCACCCCAAATCCCGCTTACTACCCAATGAGATATAGTACTTCAACATTATCTGAAAGTTAGTCTGGTGTTTTTGCGAACGCTTGTAAAATAGATTGATTATTTTGAGGTTATTTCGCCCCAAACAACTGCTAATTGACCCCAGGGTCAGTTGACACGTGCACGTCACCTTAGTTTTATGCATCGATTTGAGCTCGTTAGAAGGGAGAAACTAACAAGATTCTTTAAATATGTACCTGTTTTAATGAAATACACGCAATCTTCAAAAGGAGAGGCCGTTCAATGGGTAATTTCTGTTCTTGAGATCTTGTAGATTGCAGCATGGCGTCTGCGAGTGGACCTGGGTCTAGGTCTGTTTTCCCGTGACTGCGAAATCAGAATAACATGAAGAAATAATTCTCCCTCGAATCTTCGTAAGTGAATCAGCTTTGCAGTGCCTTACCTGAGATAAAAAGTGGGCCGAATAGCAAAACATTTCTAGCGCAATTTGGATCCTTTGTGGAACGCAGTGTATTGTTGAGCGAAAGGTGAGTAAACAAACGTGGGAAAGTACGTTACCTTTGTTTGCGTGACCAGCCAGTAAACGACAGTCTCCAGCGAAAAATAGGATTCGCAAAAATCTTGCTGATGTATATTTAACAGTTTCTTACTATAAATTTATACCTGGTTTGTCTAAAACTTTAAACAATGCATATCTGTCCAAGAGTATAAGGATGTTTCGAAAGATCCACCCCTAAATAACTGTGGGCTACTCCTTTTTCTTCATCACCGATGTGCACTTCCTTCCCTCTGTCTTTTGCATGAGGCTTGTATGCCTTTTTAACTGTTATCGACACTTAAAACTGGCCGTTTAAGGCCTGGTTTAAGAACTTGACTGACTAAAAAAACCGTCGCGAACATGCGCTATTATTGTTGGACTTTGGAAGCTTTAAGCCCAAAATGATGGTGCAATCTCGAGAAATTTGCCCGGGTCTAATTATAAGACAGGGAACGGGTACTAAGAAAGGCACGGTCTCATTTAGCAACCCGTGGACAATCTGGGCTTGCTTGCCTTCTGTCGCAGGGGCAACCGGTAAGGCCAGGTACGCCGCCCCCATCCCAGAGGATTGCATGGCATCCACCATTTCAGTCGCTTTTTCCATATCATGACCTTCAATTATCATGAACTAGTAGTAATCATAGATCAATAAGTGCGTTCGAGTTTTCTTAGCTCCAGATTAGCTTTTGTGTCGTCAAGCTTGATTTCAAAATCATGGAAGAGATCATGAATTAAAAGGTAAACATTCTTTTCGTAAAAAATGTTCTTCGCGTATACGGCTTCAAAATATCTCACTCATTAACTCTCTACTCTTAAAATGTCTTACTCTCCCTCAAGCATGGTCGATAAAAATGTAAAGTAGATCGTAAAAAGTTCTTTGTTGTTAAAAAGATAAACATGTCACTACAAACTTCGAAAAAATGGTAGCCTTGAAGGTTAAAAGTCTTGGCTTCTTGCGTGACACAACTTGAAGTGAAATCAATGATCATAGGAGCGACGGAAACATATTAGGTTTCTGCTAGATTACTGATGTCAGAGAACCGGACAGAATCTTTTGCCATTGTGCAAACTTTTCATCTCATGATTATTTTACGTTCATGTAGGTCAGTTCAACATGTTTTAAACTTAGCTTGCTTCAGCGAGCGAGATACTTATCATGCAAAATTACCCGCGTAGAGATATCAGACGTGAATAAAGCATTACAGTTGTAACAAACTGCACTGATACGCTCAAGCTTACTTTTTCGTGCATGAAAGAGGTTAAACTACAAATATGTAAATAGACTCAAACGCACGGGTAAACTTCTCAGGGCACAAATGTTACCTGGTCTTTATTTGTGTGTTTCTACGAAGTTCCAGCTCGATTTGAACGGCATTGACCGAAAAGTTTAGCAGAATCATCAGCTCAGTGATAAAACCCTCTTAGAAAACAACTCCAAAGTTCATTCTTTTGCCGAACTCAAATATTCCCGTGTAATCATCTAGTTGACCTTGATGGAACCAGCGATGCACGTGATTGCCATATGACAATTGCTTATGACGTAAAAAATAGTTGTGTGCGCATGTCCACCAGGTGAGCCCGCAATTTCTTTGGCCGGCTATTGGGCTTAAAATTCGTGCGCGCGCTTAATAATTATTCAAAATGGCGCAGATTTTGAACATCGCCCGTCCAAGTAACCAAAAATCTCGAATCTTCACGCCTGGCATGCACAGGTATCCCATCGACCACAGGATCCCCAAAGATTACGAAGCGTTCTCCTAACGTCGAACGCAATTATAATGCGGGCCTTGATCGTTGCCACCTTACCAGAAGTCTAATCTTCGCACTGTTAGACCATGAGAATCTCTATTATTATTCCATAAATGCACCAATGACTTTTCCTTGCTCAGCTTCCGGTAAACCGATACTCCGAAGCAAAATTAGCTTTACAACGACTCTATCCAGGCCAGAACTCCTGATATCAACAAATATACCCCCCCTAAAGAGAGCAAACGTTCCCCGAACTATTCACTTGACCCACCCCATCCCTTCGTTAAGAAAAACTACGCACTCAGTTCACTGGACAAAACGCGCCCGTGAATATACCAAACTATAGCCGTTCATCCTATAAGCAATCTCAGTTTCAGCAGGCGTGGCCACGTTTC